TAAATCTTCGTGTGTTTTTAGATCCTCTTAGAAGTGACCTGTATTGAAGAGTGGGTGTGTTGTTGATTTTGTAGAGTATATGTAGTTAAGGAGACATGAAACTTTGTTTTTCTACCTGGAATATAAGACAACAAACTGATACAGGTGAATACCTGGTACATGCAAGTCAAGTGTAACAGAAATACGTTATTTATCTTCTCCATCAGTATCAAATCATAAACGTTTCCGTCTTATCCCAGTTACAGGTGATTTACTATTTCTTAGTCTTTGGTTTAGTATAACATTGCGTTTTTGTGATCTTTTAGCTGGTGAACATCCATCTCCCTAGAAGGGACGACCTAAACCAATTAGAAAAACTTAATTACAGTTTAACAGTTTACAAAGAAAAATTACTGAATACGTTAAATCTAACATAAGATTGTACTTATCACGTATTGTCTGGCCTGTAGCACGTGATTTCTGTACACGTGAAAACCTCTCTTAACCTATGTGCTATATAAGAATATATCTTACCTGAGGGTGGTCGGGTGGCGCAGTAGTAACACATGCGCTCTCGCTTTTCACCTGGACGTTCGGTGTTAGATTTCCGGACAGGACGTGAAAAGGTATGGGATCTCCTATCCCACTACGTGGGTTTTCCTCGGGTGTTCCGGTTTCCTCCCAATTTGAGAGTCTATAAAACACTTCAAATTATCAATTGCAAAAATTCCTCCAGGACCGGTTAGTGTATAAAGTATAAAAACTAGTTTGATACTTTGGTTGTTAGGGTTCAGAGTCTTTTTTTTTGTATATCAATTTATCCTTCCCTCTGGGCAGGTTACTGTATAGTGTATGTCAGCTAAGTAACTCTAACCCTTCCTTCTGGACAGGTTACTGTATAGTGTACGTCAGCTAAGTAACCCTAACCCTTCCTTCTGGACAGGTTACTGTATAGTGTACGTCAGCTTAGTAACCCTAACCCTTCCCTCTGGACAGGTTACTGTATAGTGTACGTCAGCTTAGTAACCCTAACCCTTCCTTCTGGACAGATTACTGTGTAGTGTACGTCAGCTAAGTAACCCTAACCCTTCCTTCTGGACAGGTTACTGTATAGTGTACGTCAGCTAAGTAACCCTAACCCTTCCTTCTGGACAGGTTACTGTATAGTGTATGTCAGCTTAGTAACCCTAACCCTTCCCTCTGGACAGGTTACTGTATAGTGTATGTCAGCTTAGTAACCCTAACCCTTCCCTCTGGACAGGTTACTGTATAGTGTATGTCAGCTTAGTAACCCTAACCCTTCTTTCTGGACAGGTTACTGTGTAGTGTATAGTGGACAGGTTACTGTGTAGTGTACGTCAGCTAAGTAACCCTAACCGTTCCTTCTGGGCAGGTTACTGTATAGTGTACGTCAGCTTAGTAACCCTAACCCTTCCTTCTGGACAGGTTACTGTGTGGTGTACGTAAGCTAAGTAACCCTAACCCTTCCTTCTGGACAGGTTACTGTATAGTGTATGTCAGCTTAGTAACCCTAACCCTTCCCTCTGGGCAGGTTACTGTATAGTGTATGTCAGCTAAGTAACTCTAACCCTTCCCTCTGGGCAGGTTACTGTATAGTGTATGTCAGCTTAGTAACCCTAACCCTTCCTTCTGGACAGGTTACTGTATAGTGTACGTCAGCTAAGTAACCCTAACCCTTCCTTCTGGACAGGTTACTGTATAGTGTACGTCAGCTTAGTAACCCTAACCCTTCCTTCTGGACAGGTTACTGTATAGTGTACGTCAGCTAAGTAACCCTAACCCTTCCTTCTGGACAGGTTACTGTATAGTGTACGTCAGCTAAGTAACCCTAACCCTACCTTCTGGACAGGTTATTGTATAGTGGTTGTCAGCTAACTAACCCTAACCCTTCCTTCTGGACAGGTTACTGTATAGTGTACTTCAGCTAAGTAAACTATCCCTTCCTTCTGGACAGGTTACTGTGTGGTGTACGTCAGCTAAGTATCTTGAGTAATTCTGTAAGGTTGTGAGTAGGAGATCAGTGATACTGTAAGATTTAACATAAAATTCGTGAAACAGGATGGTTTTGTTTTTTATAGATTGATACTACATATAGATATGAAATTTTAAAAAATGACAAACCGGTCTTGCACATCACTTTGCATTTTAGAAACATTTCCACTCGGAACATTATAGTTATAATGTTTGAATCTGAATCTTCCATGCCTACAAAAGACTGGGTCTTATACAGTAAACACTTTCAAACTGATGCTGTAGAGAATGAAGTAAAATATAGCGAGTGTCCACTAAAGAGTGATATAAAAATATTATTATTCATGAATCTTTTTAAAACTTTGAAATCAACACGTCAACGCGTACCTGTGGAATACAGAATACCTTCGTTTGGCGACGGATGATATACAATTTTAAACTAAATTATGTAAAATCCCTATGAATGAATGTGGGACACAGCACAACGGTTATACCGTATGCAACAGCATTGTGATTTATATTATCACTATAGCAGTATAACTTGTAGAACTTTGAAGCAGTAGGTCTAAAATTTGTAAGTTGAAAAATTTGTCCGAAAAGTGAAGTCGCGAACACATCTAAACTTGAACAAAAAATCACAGTGACCATAGTATCACAATTCGACCCCACACGAACATACGTGCAAGCAATGAATATTTCATCATGCAACATTATTTGACAGCGACTTAAAGAAACTTGTCCAAAAATCGCTCGAAAAAGAAACTAACAAACATGTTTTTAAAAAAAACATAAATAATTGAATACATCACGCAGAGAATACGTCATAACATTAAGGAAACATGTCCGAAAATTTTAACCAGCTGTTGAGGGAGGGAGGGACGGACGGAATCTAAATTCCATGTTACGTCAGCAGTAATTGAGGAGCGTATACGTATCAATTAAACATTAAAAAAAATCAGCAGTGATTATATTGCTTTATAAGTATCGTCCTTTCAATCAATGTGTTTTGAAACGTACTGGATAGAATATCGTTAAATTGATTCTGGACCTGTCTCAGCCCTATTTACATTCCCGAGTAGATCCGCGGTGTTAGTATACAACTGATCTATCAATATTCAAATCCAGACAGTCGACAAACATGAAGACATAATTGAAAAATTGATCCTGGGGTTTAAAATAAACAGTGCACGTCTTGGTGGCAGAAATGGACGTACACAATATACAAAGACATGGTCGGCTAGGTCGGAAATTAAAAACTGGCGGCTAAACATTGAGTCATTATGACAGGTTCCTTGTGGGGTTTTAAGTGTGATACATAAGATAAAGGACTTTCTAATGGACTGGTATTTTATTATAAACACCCATCAATGGGCTAATGTATTTACATATCACAGACATTTAATAGCGCCCACCATTCATAAATAATACATGGCATGTCCTTCATTCCAGGACAGAAAGTTTAAACATCTACATAGTTTATATAGTGACAAGAATTCAAATACAGTTATACAAACTTCTAATACGGGTGACTTACATTGTAATTCTGAAAGTGTGTTTATGTGATCATTGTCCTTGTTGCAAATAACAACATATATAGCACGGAAGCCCGTTTCCTAATGTGTCGCATGACTGTCTTACTTCGGAGTAAGTTACAAGCAAGTTATATAGACCTTAATAATGTAACCAGATGGTATATCCTTCAAGGTGTCTTAGAATGTATACTTCAGTGTGATAACACTATAAAGTCGGCATTCTCACTATGACAATGAGGCTTATGAGAACATATTGCAGCCTCCCAAACACATTTCATACAGTGAGTCCATAAATGACTAAAGATGTCTAGAGACGGGTGTGAGGATGTAGACAAACCATTGTAACATTTCACACTAAGATTTATCGTATAAAGTCATCACAGGAGACCTTTCATTTTTCATCTACCAAAGACTACAGTGACGTCCACAGTTTGTTGGTGTCCTGTGAGGTAGTGTGCCAAGTCCTTGTACATGTGGATATCTACACCTGTAATACTACACGTACAGTTTGTAGGTAGTATAAAAACATATTATTGATCGAGTCGTATGATACACGGCGATAAATGGCGGTAATGGAGGCCATTTCGGGTCTACGTGTCAGAAGTTTCAACACAATCATTGAAATATCAACCAATACCCACCTTTCTCGAAGGAGAGAAACTTTAAGCGTAAACACAATCTTCATGTTAATCGAAACATTTTACAAAATGTCAAACATTAAAACATTGAGCTTTTTCTCCGCCAAATACACTAATCGGTATGTATTAGCATTAAATGTAACAACGAAAGTAATTAATATTGTGAGTTAAGTTTGAATAGGTTTGTGGTAAAATATTGGCATACAGGATGAATACCTGTATAGGCTGGGTTGTGGTCTCGGGGTAGTTACTTGTATAGTGTACACTTGCACAGGACCTGGGTAAGACATTAGGGTATCATACATAAGTATATATATATATATACGTTACGTGTCGGTATGTAAGCTTAACATTGGATTATACACATATATAATACCTAATTATACACCTGACAATGGATATGTTCCAAACAATACAAATATATCAATATATATACTGAATTAATATGTATACACAGGTAGAGGTTCACTGAAGACAGTGTCCCATTGTTGAAAATAAAAAGGTGTCCTTTCGACACAAAGCAGTCATGAATTCACCCATTTGTAGAAAAATCAATACACAACTTTTAAATGCAAATACAATTTATTGCATCCAGCCATAGAGGAAGGGCGAAGCTCCGACACACAAGTTTACAAAGAACATACAACTACTATCGCGGTGACTTAGAAAAGGTGGCTCATGTATCGGGCGAGTATCCCGACAAACACAACACAGAAATAGGCTTATCAAAGTTAAGTCGTTCTGCTAGAAAGGAATTAAAAGCTAGACTTTGAAATAACACAACACAATAACAAAGGCAACAGGGGTAAACGGTGCGAATGACATTTTATAAATTAACACTAATAAAAATATGATCTTTTTAAATGTATAAAACGTAATAACATGCAAAATCTATATATTTTTGAAAATATAAAAATACGTCAACAAACATAATGGAAAGGTAAATATAATACTATAGTAAAATGAGCAACCAATTACATATGAATACTGATTTGGTACCCAAAAGTTCAAACCCATAGCCGGATGATTTTAGTCACTGATTATAGTTCGACTGTCCGGATCCAGTCCCCACATCCACAACGGTACCAGTCCGAGGTGAACGCTCACTTATAGAAGTACAATCGATGGTGTAGTCAGGAGACACAATTGGTGTTGAAGAAAAGTTCCAGGAACAGACGAGTTCGGCCTGACAATGTCGGGAATAAAAGTTTTCTGGTGTTTTAATTAATATAAATCGGCACTTTAATCAATACCCCGGTGCTCTCCACGAGAACACTGATGTTAGGTATCCCGTAATTTCTTGCCAATGTCTACTGACTGAGCGATCTCCACTTTACCAGGTCACTGGGAGGAATTCCAAACTTCTTCTTTTTGTTATCGGTAATTCGACTAAAGAAGAATCCACACGTTGGTTTTTCTTCCGTATAGAAGGGGGCAATAGAGTTCATCTTCTTCAGTTCTCCTCCGACCAGTACATACTTGCTCATTACACCGTTGGCGTCCAACTTGTGCACAATCTGAACTTCGGAGACATTATTCTCTGAGATACTGGACTGCTCACGTTGGAATCTCTGAAAATGTCGAGAGTAGCGCTTTGCCCCAAGCCCGAGTTTGCTAAGACGTTTATTCTCCAATCTCTCCCATGTTAGTGTTTTCGGATTGGGATTAAATCGTTGTAAATGAGGAAATGCTCCCGGTACTTCTCCCTGTTCCGAAGCCGCCATCGTCGGCTACTGCCGATACCAAAGGAAAACTTTGGTACAATCCTTTCCCTGTTGTTCAACCCCGAGATCTGGGTCGTATTCGCGTTGCTAACCAAGTCCGTGCGCAAGATTAACAGTCGAGAATATTCACACAGACTATAATAGGTTAATCCAACCCCCTCAGCGTAACTCGCCAAGTGTATAGTCTATCTCTACCTACAGTATTGTTCACGCGTCACGGGTCCCTGGCGACGGTATATATCACAATACAACACACGTGATCACCTACGTTATTTATAAATACATATTCCGGGCCATGTCAGATTGTGACGTAATTTGGTTCGCAGATATACACACTCATCAGGGATCAAAGGCTCGATAATCACACACAAGAAATCAATACACATTTGTATTTTAAACTGTGTATTAATGAATTTAAAAGCCGTCAGGTTTGAATAATAAATTGCCATGTGATCATATCGTTAGTTGATGATTAATCTTGGGAAATCAAGAAGAAAGAAAAAAAAGTATTTTACATTTGTACTCAATCAAGTCCGTCAAAAGTTCCAGTTGTTTCTGAAGGCGGAAAATTAATTTTATTATAAAGACTTTATATTTGACACGTTTAAATTTCAAATTGTAATTTCTTTTTAAAAAGAATCGTTTTTCTTTTACAGACACTCTGATATATAGACGGCTTCAGATAATATATATATACACACACACACACACACACACAAGACAACAAGAGTTATCTACCCTATTACAGTTGTTAGGAGCTCTTCAATCTGTGTAGATGGAGTATGAAAAGAATGACGAAGTTATATAACTTTTTCGGCTGCTTTTCGACAGCAAGGCGACCGGGAGCAACCCACAGGGAACGACAGGCTGTCGGAATATGGTGGTTTCTGTTGACGTGATCCACACATTCAAATACCCGTTAGAGTTTGTCGTGAACACTCATTTCACAAAGGTGTGAAATCGATGTTTTTGTGCGAGTATGGTATCGGCGTGTGTTCGCCCCAAGTATTACCTAACACCAATATGTCGTTTTTAAGCAGCAGCTCTGTCTTTCTGAAAGTTATTGTCCTCATACTGTAACGTCGGTTGCACATGTCAATATTCCACATAAATCGCACTTGCCATGACGGTTTGTCACATTTCATTAAGATGTCGCAGTTAGACTGCTCCGTTAGACTTGCACGTGTCCTTAACTAGGATACGAAATAATTCTGCTCCCAGTGCTAGTGCAGTTTGATAAAAATATGTACATTTATGAAAGCATCTATATTGCATATCTCATTGTGAACTGCTCATATCAAGTTGTTTATATAGTTTTTCTTTAAAATTTAATTTAAATATAATCCAAACAAATATCAGAAATACATCTAAATAATGCAGTAAGGAGACAGGGCAATAAAAATATATGCCTAATCAAGACTTTTTGACATCTCCCTCTTAAAGAGACTCTTCTGCCTTTCTCACATGTACTTGTATGGAATGTGACAAAGGTTCATGAGCCTTAGATTTGAAATCAAGTGATCAGATGTTCCCTTGTCTTAATTGGTTAAAAAATTTTTTTTTTCAACAAAAGATTTTTGCAAAATTTATGTTCCAAATCCAGAATGAATATTTCTTCTATTAAAATCTTAATCATTTAAGACTTTAAATATGTTTTTATTTCCTTATGATAGCTTAAACAGTCATTTTGTCAGTCAGAATATGTTTTTATCCAATCAACAGATCAAAAGTTGTCATTGTTCAGCAGTAGCAGTCCAAATAACCAGCTGTTTTAGGCAATCACATTTGTAATATTTTTTTTCTGCTATTTTGGATATCCAAATGTGATGTGACCTGGCATAAAGTGCTTGCTTTAGAGAACAGTTATTAAGACCTTGTATAATTAATAAACATAGTAACCTAACATACCTATACTTCAGCAATGATCTATATTTATAGTACATTTACCAGTCACATTCACTCATTCAAATGGTATTCTGGGATCTGTTACCCATTCTACACAGATTAGCTACACAGATTAGAACAGTGTGCATTGTAATGCAATAAGAATGCATTGTAAATTTTGAAAAAAATTCATTCTATATATAAAGTCGTAATAATTTAAAGATGAAATTAATTGCCGACATGCTTTGTTCTAATTTCCCAGTAATTTGTACCTTTTTTCCTTTTAAACGAAGGCTATTTTTGTTATTTTTTCAGTACCCAAATGATAAAGAGAAGTATGTTCAGAAAATTGATACTGTTGAACAAAGCTTTGGTAAGTTATGGTATGATGAAATATATATTTTTTAACTATTTGGCAGAACAGCAATAGCTCTTTATGATTTAATATCAGACACAGAAAAGTTACCAGATCATTAATAAATTGTATTATATGAAATCAGCAACAGTAAATTGTGACTCTAGTTAGTGGTGTTCCGATAGTTGAAAAAAGTCGAAAATTGCTTGACTACAACCAAAGATCAAGTGTACCAAACCAACTTAGTGTATCAATACTAGTGTATCGGGCCTAGTGTATCAGTACTAGTGTATCAGGCCTAGTGTATCAGAACTAGTATCGGGCCTAGTGTATCAGTACTAGTGTATCAGGCCTAGTGTATCGGGCCTAGTGTATCAGTACTAGTGTATCAGGCCTAGTGTATCAGTACTAGTGTATCAGTACTAGTGTATTGGGCCTAGTGTATCAGTACTAGTGTATCAGGCCTAGTGTATCGGTACTAGTGTATCAGGCCTAGTGTATCAATACTAGAAGCTACCAGTATGTGGCGTACCTTTCGTAGTTTTCGTTCAGTATTTATAATAAAAAAACTGACACGAATCTACACTAGTAAATTAAAATTTGGATTTCATTTGTTTTTAGAAAAGGAAACTTTATTCATAAATCAAGAAAACTTGAGATTCTAACTTTTAAACATAAGTATGAAACTACGGCGAAAGAGCATGTTGTCAAAATGGCGGATGATATTGAGCTGTACCAATGTCCTGGAAAAAACGAAGTCAAGAGTTCTAAAAGTAGTGAGGATAGATACTATTCCCATTGATCGATTAATCGTTCATTGTACTCCTTCCGATAATTGATTGTAAATTTCCGTTCCGATTCCCATCACTAACTATAATAGAACTTTTACAACCTTGTTCATCAACATGATAACATATGGTTCATTTATTTAGATAAAGACAGTGGAGTTAACTACAAGAAGAGAATAGCAACTTGTCATAACGTTGTACCATCCGTCCTCCGTCTGGTAAGTAAATGGTATTGTATTAATGGGTTATACCATCTATCCTCTCCCTGGTATGATATTGTATTAAGACCTTGGACCATCCATCCTCTCCCTGGTATGATATTGTACTAAGACCTTGGACCATCCATCCTCTCCCTGGTATGATATTGTATTAAGACCTTGGACCATCCATCCTCTCCCTGATAATTATGATATTGTATTAAGACCTTGGACCATCCATTCTCTCCCTGGTATGATATTGTATTAAGACCTTGGACCATCCATCCTCTCTCTGATAATTATGATATTGTATTAAGACATTGGACCATCCATCCTCTCCCTGGTATGATATTGTATTAAGACCTTGGACCATCCATCCTCTCCCTGGTATGATATTGTATTAAGACCTTGGACCATCCATCCTCTCCCTGGTATGATATTGTATTAAGACCTTGGACCATCCATCCTCTCCCTGGTATGATATTGTATTAAGACCTTGGGACATTCATCCTCTCCCTGGTATGATATTGTATTAAGACCTTGGACCATACATCCTCTCCCTGGTATGATATTGTATTAAGACCTTGGACCATTCATCCTCTCCCTGGTATGATATTGTATTAAGACCTTGGACCATCCATCCTCTCTCTGATAATTATGATATTGTATTAAGACATTGGACCATTCATCCTCTCCCTGGTATGATATTGTATTAAGACCTTGGACCATCCATCCTCTCTCTGATAATTATGATATTGTATTAAGACCTTGGACCATTCATCCTCTCCCTGGTATGATATTGTATTAAGACCTTGGACCATCCATCCTCTCTCTGATAATTATGATATTGTATTAAGACCTTGGACCATCCATCCTCTCCCTGGTATGATATTGTATTAAGACCTTGGACCATCCATCCTCTCTCTGATAATTATGATATTGTATTAAGACCTTGGACCATCCATCCTCTCCCTAAGACCTTGGACCATCCATCCTCTCTCTGATAATTATGATATTGTATTAAGACCTTGGACCATCCATCCTCTCTCTGATGGTATGATATTGTATTAAGACCTTGGACCATCCATCCTCTCCCTGGTATGATATTGTATTAAGACCTTGGACCATCCATCCTCTCTCTGATAATTATGATATTGTATTAAGACCTTGGACCATCCATCCTCTCCCTGGTATGATATTGTATTAAGACCTTGGACCATCCATCCTCTCTCTGATAATTATGATATTGTATTAAGACCTTGGACCATCCATCCTCTCTCTGATAATTATGATATTGTATTAAGACCTTGGACCATCCATCCTCTCCCTGTATGATATTGTATTGATATTGGACCATCCATCTCTCTCTCTGATATTGTATTAAGATGGATATCCTCTCCCTGGTATGATATTGTACTAAGACCTTGGACCATCCATCCTCTCCCTGGTATGATATTGTATTAAGACCTTGGACCATCCATCCTCTCTCTGATAATTATGATATTGTATTAAGACCTTGGACCATCCATCCTCTCCCTGGTATGATATTGTATTAAGACCTTGGACCATCCATCCTCTCCCTGGTATGATATTGTATTAAGACCTTGGACCATCCATCCTCTCTCTGATAATTATGATATTGTATTAAGTATCCTCTCCCTGGTATGATATTGTATTAAGACCTTGGACCATCCATCCTCTCTCTGTATAATTATGATATTGTATTAAGACCTTGGACCATCCATCCTCTCACTTTTATGATATTGTATTAAGACCTTGGACCATCCATCCTCTCCCTGGTATGATATTGTATTAAGACCTTGGACCATCCATCCTCTCCCTGGTATGATATTGTATTAAGACCTTGGACCATCAATCCTCTCCCTGGTATGATATTGTATTAAGACCTTGGACCATCCATCCTCTCTCTGATAATTATGATATTGTATTAAGACCTTGGACCATCCATCCTCTCCCTGGTATGATATTGTATTAAGACCTTGGACCATCCATCCTCTCTCTGATAATTATGATATTGTATTAAGACCTTGGACCATCCATCCTCTCTCTGATAATTATGATATTGTATTAAGACCTTGGACCATCCATCCTCTCCCTGGTATGATATTGTATTAAGACCTTGTGTATGATATTGTATTAAGACCTTGGACCATCCATCCTCTCCCTGGTATGATATTGTATTAAGACCTTGGACCATCCATCCTCTCCCTGGTATGATATTGTATTAAGACCTTGGACCATCCATCCTCTCTCTGATAATTATGATATTGTATTAAGACCTTGGACCATCCATCCTCTCCCTGGTATGATATTGTATTAAGACCTTGGACCATCCATGATCCTCTATTGATATTGTATTAAGACCTTGGACCATCCATCCTCTCCCTGGTATGATATTGTATTAAGACCTTGGACCATCCATCCTCTCCCTGGTATGATATTGTATTAAGACCTTGGACCATCCATCCTCTCCCTGGTATGATATTGTATTAAGACCTTGGACCATCCATCCTCTCCCTGGTATGATATTGTATTAAGACTGGTATGATATTTTGGACCATCCATCCTCTCCCTGGTATGATATTGTATTAAGACCTTGGACCATCCATCCTCTCTCTGATAATTATGATATTGTATTAAGACCTTGGACCATCCATCCTCTCCCTGGTATGATATTGTATTAAGACCTTGGACCATCCATCCTCTCCCTGGTATGATATTGTATTAAGACCTTGGACCATCCATCCTCTGCCTGGTAATTATGATATTTTATTAAGACCTTGGACCATCCATCCTCTCCCAGGTAATTATGATATTATATTAAGACCTTTGACCATCCATCCTCGACCTAGTAACTAAATGATATTATAATGATGGGTTGAGCTAGCTATCCTCAACCTAGTAAATACACCCAATCAGTGAAATGTAAGTTCTTTAAAGTCCTTCCATACAAGGATATTGTCCAAGTTTGGTCTGAAGCAAATTTTATAAATAGTGAATCTGGCCTCTGTTTTGTCCACAAGGGTGGGACCTAAATTATATCAGAATTGTTAGTCATATTTGAAATCCTTTATTGGATGCTGAATAGCTAAATTAGCCAGGTGAGCAATGCAGGCTCATTGTATGTCAAACCTGTATAGTTATGGGGGAAGTGAAAGACATAAGAAAAGCAGAGGGAATAGATATGCATACTTGTATGTGTATCGAATACATACTTGTATTTGTTTGTGATATTGTGAAACAGGGTAGAATTGTATGTATGTGTATGTGTATCGAATACATACTTGTATTTGTTTGTGATATTGTGAAACAGGGTAGAATTGTATGTATGTGTATGTGTATCGAATACATACTTGTATTTGTTTGTGATATTGTGAAACAGGGTAGAATTGTATGTATGTGTATGTGTATCGAATACATACTTGTATTTGTTTGTGATATTGTGAAACAGGGTAGAATTGTATGTATGTGTATGTGTATCGAATACATACTTGTATTTGTTTGTGATATTGTGAAACAGGGTAGAATTGTATGTATCGGTACATATTTGTTTCAGATAAGTGTTTTGAATGTGAAAGAATTTCTCCTGGAAGAGAAGGCTTGGCAGGATGCCAAAAAACGATCCCTTTATCTCAAAAGTCGCAACCTGACTTGGTGTAAATATGCAAATATGTGGGAGGAGTCAAAGTTCGGACCTTCTCCAGAAAACCCAAACTGGTAAGATTACGTTGTTAACCTCTAACTGTGTAATCACAGTCAAATTCAGTTATCACTATAGAATATAGATTATGTGTAAATAACATCACAGATGGTAACCCTCCAACTGTCTGTAGTGTTAATATCTGTCTGGTGTCCTTAGATTGTCTGTAGTGTTAATATCTGTCTGGTGTCCTTAGTGTGTCTGTAGTGTTAATATCTGTCTTTTGTCCTTAGACTGTCTGTAGTGTTAATGTCTGTCTGGTTGTCCTTAGACTGTCTGTAATGTTAATATCTGTCTGGTGTCCTTAGACTGTCTGTAGTGTTAATATCTGTCTGGTGTCCTAATTGTGTCTGTAGTGTTAATGTCTGTCTGGTGTCCATAGACTGTCTGTAGTGTTAATATCTGTCTGGTGTTCTTAGACTGTTTGTAATGTTAATGTCTGTTGGGTGTCCTTAGACTGTCAGTAGTGTTAATATCTGTCTGGTGTCCTTAGACTGTCTGTAGTGTTAATATCTGTCTGGTGTTCTAAGACTGTCGGAAGTGTATCTGTCTGGTGTCCTTAGTTGATTGTCTGTGTTTGATCCTATTTTCATCAGTTGTTTACAGGAAATGTGTCTCATAGCATGTGAATGACAGTAATGATTAAGTAATAAATAAATAAAAATATTTTGTGATTTTATTCACTAATGATATTTTGTATTTAAATAAACAGATATAAGTACGAATATAAAACAAAAAATGTAATGTGAAACACTCGTCATTGAATCGCAGCACACGTGTGGATACACACCCAATCTCATACACATAACTTAGTGAATCAATACCGAAAGTGATACAAATATTGTATGCACATTTATATCCTGAAGAGTAACAAGTCCCATCAACAATATTTAAAAATAAAATTCAATAAATACATACTCATGAGCATTCTACATTGATGTAACAGTGATAGCACTGAGGAGGGTTAGGAAAAGGTGAAGGCTGCAGCAATGTCAGTGAAGCATCACTTTACGTATAGAGCACTGTATGAGTGTAACCATAAAATAGATAAAAAAATAAGTATTTCAAATCATAAACAAATGTGTCAAACTAGTATTTTTATCAATCTGCGTCAGTGCAGTAGTTATCTCCTGTTTTTTCCTTTGGTTTCCTGCCATCATGCACATAAAAAAGTAAACAAAACACATTGGATTACAGTTAACAGACCATAGTGTACTTTGTTAGCTAAGTGAGCTTATGCCCAGGTGCAGCGTCCATTGTCTGGTGTCAACTTTTTCCTTTAAATAACTTCTTCTCAATAATCAATGGACCAAATGTTTTGATATTATGCTGGTATGTTCCTAGAATAAAGTCTGACAAAGTTTGTGAAAAGAGGTGACCTTGACTAATATTCAAAGTCACAGGGGTCAAATTTGTTTAAACATTTAAACAACTTCTTCTCATGAACTAAAAGGCCTAGTGGTAGGATATTTTGCTGGTATGTTCTTACATGTAGGATGAAGCTTGACAAAGTTTGCAAAAAGGAATGACCTTGACCTATTTTCAAGATCACAATGAACAAATTTGTTAAAACCTTAAATGACTTCTTCTCATTAACTAAAAGACCAAGAGGCATGATATTTGGTTGGTATATATATACCAGGTGAACACTGCAGGCCCATTGGGCCTCTTTTTTTAAATTCTGTGTAAATTCTAACTTTTATCTTTGTTAACACAAGCATTAATGTTTGATCGAAAATTACACAGATAACAACTGATCGATCACACTCAGTCATTCGGACTTAGGCCAGGAAATTTTTACCTGAGACAAGGTGATTCCTGAATGTTCAACACCAAAAATGAAATTTTAGTAGAAATTAGAAGGGATGGACCACAAAATATATTCAAACCAAATGCAGTATTCAACTCAATAGTGTTTGAATCATCCATGTTTAATTTACTAAGATTTCGAAGAGAAAAAAATCAGGATCCAACATATGTATTTGATTCAAGGGTGTAAACCACAAGAGTTTTACTGCAGTGTTTGATGTCCTGGAATAAATGTCTGATGTCCTGGTTTAAAGCGTCTGTACAGTCTCACTTATGTCCTAGGTTTGAGTGTCTGTCCTAGGTTTGAGTGTCTGTTCAGTGTCTGATGTCTTAGGTAAGAATGTCTGTCCAGTGTCTGATGAACTGGGTTAAATTGTCTTGTATGTGATGCCCCTACTTAATACATTATTTACTTGCATATGTTTCCCTTTACAAATTAACATTCAGATGTAATTGGTATTTCTTTTTTTTATCAATAAAACAGGCCTCCAAACTTTATTTGAAAAGCATTTTTTTTTTCATATTGGAATGAAATGGTTTACTTCTCCGAGTTCAGTCAGGTGAATTCCTTTAGGCTGGTGTGATGCACAATTTCTATCAGAGTTACTTCCCTTTATTCTTGTTTTAAATTGGTTTATTCCAGGACGCAGTTGAAACAGCATGGTGTTATTGACATTCAAGGCCTTGGAGCATTTGGCAGAGTCATTGAAATGTTTGCAGAGAAATTCTTGCATGCTGGAGTGAAAAGAGTAAGTATATGTTTGAGGAATATCGTTATGAAAGTTTTGTGAAAGTACTACTGGGTTGTGATTTCCATTGTCTACCGTGGTTTGTGTAGATATCACTGTATGATCATGTTTCAGGGTCTGGGAATTATGGAGGACTTATTGTTGGAACGGTATCAAGCTGAGATAGGGGAGATAAAAGACAGGAAATTTAAGGGACATTCTGAAGAATAACCAAGGCCAGAAGGGTAAAACTAGACCATTTGAAGTACCAAACGTCAATACTCACACTTCTGTACCGCTGCCATGTTTAAACTCAACTGACTGAAGAAATTATATTTGTTTAGGTGATTCACTCTAAATAGTATATTTGTTTTGATGAAACATTGTAGATAAAATATTTTCTCAATGATACACTGTAGATATTATGTTTATCTCAGTGATACACTGTAGATATAAGGTTTGTACCAGTGATACACTATAGATATTAGGTTTATCTCAGTGAAACACTATATATATTAAGTTTGTCTCAGTGATACACTGTAGATATAAGGTTTGTCTCATTGATACACTGTAGATATAAGGTTTGTCTCAGTGATACACTGTAGATATAAGGTTTGTACCAGTGATACACTATAGATATTAGGTTTATCTCAGTGATACACTATATATATTAAGTTTGTCTCAGTGATACACTATAGATATAAGGTTTGTCTCAGTGATGCACTGTAGATATAAGGTTTGTCTCAGTGATACACTGTAGATATAAGGTTTGTCTCAGTGATACACTGTAGATATAAGGTTTGTCTCAGTGATACACTGTAGACATAAGGTTTGTCTCAATGATACACTGTAGATATTAAGTTTGTCTCAGTGATACACTGTAGATATAAGGTTTGTCTCATTGATACACTGTAGATATAAGGTTTGTCTCAATGATACATTGTAGATATTAGGTTTGTACCAGTGATACACTGTAGATATAAGGTTTGTCTCAATGATACACTGTAGATATTAAGTTTGTCTCAGTGATACACTGTAGGTATTAGGTTTATCTCAGTGATACACTGTAGATATTAGGATTGTCTCAGTGATACACTATAGATATTAGGATTGTCTCAGTGATACACTGTAGATATTAAGTTTGTCTCAGTGATACACTGTAGATATTAGGTTTATCTCAATGATACACTGTAGATATTAAGTTTGTCTCAGTGATACACTGTAGATATTAGGATTGTCTCAGTGATACACTGTAGATATTAAGTTTGTCTCAGTGATACACTGTAGATATTAAGTTTGTCTCAGTGATACACTGTAGGTATTAGGTTTATCTCAGTGATACACTGTAGGTATTAGGTTTATCTCAGTGATACACTGTAGATATTAGGATTGTCTCAGTGATACACTATAGATATTAAGTTTGTCTCAGTGATACACTGTAGATATTAAGTTTGTCTCAGTGATACACTGTAGATATTAAGTTTGTCTCAGTGATACACTGTAGGTATTAGGTTTATCTCAGTGATACACTGTAGATATTAGGATTGTCTCAGTGATACACTGTAGATATTAAGTTTGTCTCAGTGATACACTGTAGATATTAAGTTTGTCTCAATGATACACTGTAGATATTAAGTTTGTCTCAGTGATACACTGTAGGTATTAGGTTTATCTCAGTGATACACTGTAGATATTAGGATTGTCTCAGTGATACACTGTAGATATTAAGTTTGGCTCAGTGATACACTGTAGATATTAAGTTTGGCTCAGTGATACACTGTAGATATTAAGTTTGTCTTAGTGATACACTGTAGATATAAGGTTTGTCTTAGTGATACACTGTAGATATTAAGTTTGTCTCAGTGATACACTGTAGATATTAAGTTTGTCTTAGTGATACACTGTAGATATAAGGTTTGTCTCAATGATACACTGTAGATATTAAGTTTGTCTCAGTGATACACTGTAGATATTAGGATTATCTCAGTGATACACTGTAGATATTAAGTTTATCTCAGTGATACACTGTAGATATTAGGTTTATAAAATCTCGGTGATATGCTTTATTAGGTCGCCTGAGCCGAAGGCATCATGATTTGTCTTTCGTTGTGTGACGTGCTTCGTCCATCGTTAACTTTTCACATATTCGACTTCTTCTCAAGAAGCACTGAATGGATTTTGACCAAATTTGGCACAAAGCATCCCCATGGGAAGCCACTTCAAGTTTGCGAAGAAAAAGGGCGTGTCCCCAATAAAGGCCCCAGGAAGGGGAAAAAGGGGGTAAAATTAGGTAAATCTTTAAAAATCTTTTTCTCATGAACCAACAGTCAGATTTAATTCATATTTGATATTTAGGGTCCTTATGGCAAGGTCTACAAAGTTTGCTAATGAAAAAAATATCGGGTCAAAAACGGCCCCACTAGGGGGCGCTCAAAAGGGTCAAAATTTCAACTTTGACCGATTTCAACCAAATTTGGTAGACAGCATCCCTTAGTGAAGAACATATGAAATCATGTTGAAAAAAGTGATAATGTCCCCTTTGGGACCCATAAGGGGTGTAAAAGTGGCCATATGTAAAAACCTTCATTAAATGACTGCTTCTCAAGAACCAGTGAATGGATTTTGACCAAACTTGGCACAAAGCATCCCCATGGGAAGCCGCTTCAAGTTTGTGAAGAAAAAGGGCGTGGCCCCAATAGGGGCCCCAGGAGGTGGGGAAAAGGGGAAACTTGATACGAATGTTCTACACAAGGTCCTGGCAAATGTTTGAACTTTTTGGGGCGATTCAAAATCCAAGATGGCCACCCTGGCCTCTGTTTGGCTAAGACATTATAGACTTTCTCTTAAGAACAATTGGATGGGTCATGTTCAAACTTGGTACAGATGTTTTACACTTGGTCCTGCACAAGTGTTGTTACATTTTTGCAACATTTTAAAATCCTCAGATTATTGACATATATTCCTCAAGTGACCATTAAGGCCCCTTGGGCCTCTTGTATGTTGTATATCCCAGTGAAACACAGCAAATATTTCAGGGAATTTATACAAGGTTGTTTTTACATTTAAGAGTTGTTGATAATTAAGAAAATACTCTTCAAAAAGTGATGAGTGATGAATGTGTGTATTTATTGAAGTGGATAATGATTCTGATTGCAGTGCGTTTTTCAGTGCCAGTTAAACTTTTTCATTTATTAGTTTTCACAATCAAGATGGAGTCCTTCACAAACCATACATTTTATTTGTCACAACAGTACAACTAGTCATTTCTCCTTTAGCAAGTCAGACACTATTTTACAAGTGTACATGTATGTGCATTTTTTAACGATTTACATTGTTTTATAGAAACTTGACAAACATACTTGGAATTGAAATGGCATTGTCCTTGTGACTGGCATACAAAGGACATGACATCTTATATTATATTTAGAAAGAGTATATCATAAATCAGATTTACTTTTGTTGAAGTAGAATAAAGATTTATTTTACTACGGAACGTTTTTGTTTTTATATTATTTGAAATCAGAATTATATGTACATATATTGTACATAATCACTGAAGTCATTGTTCTTTGTTTCTTATGATATTTGAATTGTTGAACTTATGACTTTGGGTATGTGGGTGTGTTTAATTTGTTTGAACCAGTCTTACATTGCCAAAGCTTATGTCCCTGCTGGTAGACTTGGTGTAAATTCATTGGCATTTTGAGGAATGTTAAACGTGTTGCAAAATTGTAAGAATGATTTTTTAAAATGAAGAATATGAAATTGAATCAAACACCAAGCTTTTGGGAAATCTCGTTCAACGATTTTATTGCACTCCACAAATTTATAAGCTATTGAGGTGTTGAATACTGGAATAGACAGAGTCAAAGCCATAGAACCTGTTATGTATTAGAGTATTCTGGAAATGCCTTACTCATAAAACTTGGAACATTCATGTTCCTGACTGGAATTTACAAACCAGTGATCCTGGTCGGAAAGCTACAAACAATAATATCAAGTGTTTTCTAAAGTCACAATCGAATACAGTCCATTCTATAGTCACAAACAAGCAGACTCGCTACATTCTATAGTCACAAACAAGCAGACTCACTGTATTCTATAGTCACAAACAAGCAGACTCGCTACATTCTAAAGTCACAAACAAGCAGACTCACTGTATTCTATAGTCACAAACAAGCAGACTCGCTACATTCTAAAGTCACAAACAAGCAGACTCACTGTATTCTATAGTCACAAACAAGCAGACTCGCTACATTCTATAGTCACAAACAAGCAGACTCACTGCATTCTATAGTCACAATCAAGCAAATACAGTCCATTCTATAGTCACAAACAAGCAGACTCACTGCATTCTAAAGTCACAAACAAGGGACTCACTGTATTCTATAGTCACAAACAAGCAGACTCACTGCATTCTAAAGTCACAATCAAGCAGACTCACTGCATTCTATAGTCACAAACAAGCGGACTTACTGCATTCTAAAGTTACAATCTAGCAAATACAGTCCATTCTATAGTCACCAACAAGCAGATTCACTGCATTCTATAGTCACAAACAAGGGACACGCTACATTCTATAGTCACAAACAAGCAGATTCACTGCATTCTATAGTCACAAACAAGCAGACTCGCTACATTCTATAGTCACAAACAAGCGGACTCACTGCATTCTATAGTCACAAACAAGCAGACTCACTGTATTCTATAGTCACAAACAAGCAGACTCGCTACATTCTAAAGTCACAAACAAGCGGACTCACTGCATTCTAAAGTCACAAACAAGCGGACTCGCTACATTCTATAGTCACAAACAAGCAGACTCACTGTATTCTATAGTCACAAACAAGCAGATTCACTGCATTCTAAAGTCACAAACAAGCGGACTCGCTGCATTCTATAGTCACAAACAAGCAGACTCACTGCATTCTATAGTCACAAACAAGCAGATTCACTGCATTCTATAGTCACAAACAAGCAGACTCACTGCATTCTATAGTCACAAACAAGGGACTCACTACATTCTATAGTCACAAACAAGCAGATTCACTGCATTCTATAGTCACAAACAAGGGACACGCTACATTCTATAGTCACAAACAAGCAGATTCACTGCATTCTATAGTCACAAACAAGCAGACTCGCTACATTCTATAGTCACAAACAAGCGGACTCACTGCATTCTATAGTCACAAACAAGCAGACTCGCTACATTCTAAAGTCACAAACAAGCGGACCCACTGCATTCTAAAGTCACAAACAAGCAGATTCACTGCATTCTATAGTCACAAACAAGCAGACTCGCTACATTCTATAG